AAATTCTTACTTTATAATGCTAACTCATCAATATGTGCATTGAATAACTTTATTTATCTAATATATGTTTGCATTTATCTTCCCTGCCAGATTATACATTCCTTGAAAGAAACCAATATATTGGGTGTTCCCCAAAGAACATTTTTTTTAAATAGGTGTCATACCCAGTGTGGAGCCCAATGTGGGGACACTAAGATCAAGACCTGAGCTGAGATCAGGAGTAAGACACTTAACTGACTGGGCCACCCAGGTACCCCCACAGAACATCTTCAAGCACATTATCCATCAGTATTTTTGAGGAACATTAATCCTGTAAGGAAAACCAAGCCCACTAATTGTCACTTCTCCTTCTCCTGTTTCTGATCACTCCACTCCTGGTGATACCTTATCCTTTAAAATCCACTGTTTCTCATCTTGAAAAGAATCAGCTTTTACTGTACTTTCTAACATACTCAAATAAGAATTTGATATTTTTTCCTTGCTCCCTTAAGGAATCTGACAGGACTGCATGAACTTTCTTATCACCCACTCACTCTTTTTTTTTTTTTGCTCCTTAATTTTTTTTAAAGATTTTATTTACTTATTTGACAGAGAGAGATCACAAGTAGGCAGAGAGGTAGGCAGAGAGAGAGAGAGGGAAGCAGGTTCCCCGCTGAGCAGAGAGCCTGATGCGGGACTCAATCCCAGGACCCTGAGATCATGACCTGAGCCGAAGGCAATGGCCCAACCCACTGAGCCACCCAGGCGCCCTCACCCACTCACTCTTTAAGCCTAGCAATTGCATTTTGTCCCAAGGACTGATTTCTGCTTCTGAGCTCCTTTTCTTCCTCTGGCCTCTAACATGACATGTTCCTCAAGCTTCCATCCTTGGTTCCCCTCTTTCCGTCGCTGGCAGTCTCATCTACTCCTGAGGCTTCAGCTGTAACCTAAAGATGCAAGAGGCCTAAACCAGGACCCAGAGCTGCATTTTGTAGCATTTATGGGGCATGGCCACAAACCTCACACATCCCGACCTCTAACAAACCTTCACATCTTGTCTCACAGCCCATAAACAAACAGAACTTAATCCCCACAACATGAATCTCATCTTCTTCCTGAATTCTCTGTATTTTTGGTACGAACAGCTCCCAGTTACAGGCTTAAAATTTACCTTCATCTTTTCTATAATCCCCCTGGGCTCCTGGATATGGCCACTGGGCCATCACTCCCCACACCCAATACCTTGCATCCACCTGTGTCTGGCATTCAAGCTCTGGGGCCTGGGCTCCAACTCATCCTTCAGTCTTATCCCCTAGGATCTTCTTCTTCTTCTTCTTTTTAAAAGATTTTATTTATTTATTTGATAGAGAGAGAGAGAACACACAAGCAGGGGGAGCAGCAGAAAGAGAGAGAAGCAGGCTTCCCCACTGAGCAGGGAGCCCGATGCGGGGGCTCGATCCCAGGACCCTGAGATCATGACCTGAGTGAAGGCAGACGTTTAACTGACTGAGCCAACCAGGCACCCCTCATCTAGGATCTTATAATACTTCAATCCAGGCAAAGTACTTGTCAGTGGCTCTCTCCTCAGAGCGCTGACAGGTACCACTGCTGTAGCAGGGATGCTTCCGTCCTGCCCTCAGACACGCATCCCAGAATCACTTCCATGTCAGAGACGGTAATACCACACAGCCGTTCAAACTGATGGCACAGCCATGTCGCAAGCTGGATAAAGTTTGTGAAATAACATCACATGACAAAAGCAAGATATATTTACAAACAGTTTTTATAATCATTCACATGAAAAAAATGTATGAAGGAATACATACAAATGACAAAAAAAAATGGTTATAGTAGAGTAGTGGAATTGTGAATGAGGTTTTGCATTTTTCTAGAGTCTAAATTTTACTTAGTGTGGTTTTTAAAATACATTTTTACTCTAGGGCTGCCTAGTAAATCAGTTGGTTAAGCTCTCAATTCTTGATTTGAGCTAAGGTCTTGGGGTCGTGGGATTGAGCCCCACATCTGGCTCCACGCTCAGCACGGAGTCTGCTTGTGATGCTCTCTCTCGCTCCCTGCCCCTCCCCCCACCGGCACGTACTCTCTCTAAATAAAACTTTAAATGAGATAAAATACATTTTAATTTTAGAATAGTTTTAGACTTACAGATAACTTGAGAAAATGGTATATAGTTCCTATATACCCTCTACCCCATATTCCTTTATTATTAAACACCTTTCATTAGTACAATACTTTTGTCACAACTAAATGAACCCAGTACTTTCATGTAGTTTTTAAAACTTAAAAGATAAAACTTTTACTTAAATAGAAGAGAATGTCATTTTTTCTATAACCTCTAACTCTGAGTTAGCAACCTGATATTTATTATTTTTATTATTACTCCAGTTTCCTCTTGGCACAGATTGTTGGCCACAGACTGGAAGAAATTTTGCCTTATTCTCATTTGCCTGATGTTTGTGTATGTAGTCCACATAACTGAAACTTCATTGTTGGCTAAAGTTGTGGAAAGTGTTTTCTTGAACATAAAGTTCCACAGACATTTTCTTTTTTTTTTTTCCCCCCTCTAAGAAGGCTCCATGCTGAGTGTGGAGCCTGGCATGAGGATTGAACTCACGACCCGGAGATCAAGACCTGAGCTGAGATCAAGAGTCGACACTTAACCGACTGAGCCACCCAGCTGCCCCAAGTTCCATGAACGTTTTTGTTTTGTTTTTTTGTTTTTTTAAAGATTTTATTTATTTATTTGACAGACAGAGATCACAAGTAGGCAGAGAGGCAGGCAGAGAGAGAAGGGGGAAGCAGGCTCCCCGCGGAGCAGAGAGCCCGATGCGGGGCCCGATCCCAGGACCTTGGGATCATGACCTGAGCCGAAGGCAGAGGCTTTAACCCACTGAGCCACCCAGGTGCCCCTCCATGAACGTTTTTAAGCCCTGTGAACCATCCCCACACCTAGAATCTCATGCTGGGGGCCTTGCTTCTCCAATGAGTCTGTAAGCTCTATGAGGGTTTTCTCTCACCCCCTGCCCCCACTCCTGCTTTTTCTTATGCCCAAGAACATCCAGTCCAGGTTTGGTCTCAGAACATCCACTCAACAAATGCCACTTGTAATAAACTGCAGAAGTAGGAAAGGCTCTAGCAGATGGGGTATGGATTTTAAGTTCCTAAAAGTAAAGGATTCTTTATGAAATTTTGTGTGAGAGGTCAGACTTGACTTTGCACACCAGGATGCCACATTATTTTCCATCTGCTTCATTCAAAGAGGTAGATTTTAGTTTTCAAATGATAAAAAGCACTCACACACCAAATGTTAACATATTCTGAAGACCATATTTTTGGCTTGCTTTTAATGTCAGAGCTCTAGAAAATGGACTGTGGGGGTTTTGTTTGTTTGTTTTTTTAAACGTGTCTCCCCTAGTAAGTTTTCTTTGTTTTAACTGCCAAGTTGGTTTCAAAGAATCCTCTGGATATCTAGCAGTTAGAACAAATCCTATAGATTATACAAAGAAATAACGAACTGAATTAGCTAGGTACAGTCCTCCTTTTCATAGGAATATGACGGTTTCTTTTACAACAGAACTGAAAAAAAAAAATCTCAAATAGGTTTCTGCCCCTTTTATTCATTGATAGATCTATTTTCATCTTTTAGGAGAGTCTTTACTTCTTATAGCTAGAACTATGACTTAAAATTAAACAGCTTCTCAACAGTGTCCTAAGGTATATTCTGTACCTAATCTTAACTGGTTTTGGAAAATCCCTAAAAGCAGGCTAAACAAACCATGTAGCATTCTTGCCTCTTCCTTGAGTCTATATCATGTTACAAAACATGTGAGGAGCAAGACTTGGTTAAACAAATTGAGGAATGCGAGAAGAGAAAATTTCATACTTTGAGTTTACTACAATTGTTTAAATTTAGTCAGCACCAAACTCAATCATTAGATCGTAATTCCAAGGAAAACACTAAGGATGACTAAATAAAAATATGATGTTCATAGTAGGTGACCCAAGAACCCCAAACCAAAGTTAAAAGCAGCATCACTGACAACTTTCGAGAGAGCTGTGTATAATTAAAATTGGCTGTTCTATCAACTACAGTATAATTTTGTTTTTTCCAAAAGTGATCTGACTACCCAAGAGCATCACTATTAATGATTTATGACAGACTGACATTTGACAAGCAAGCCTAAACAGAACTTTTAATTTGTCTCGCTAAAAATCACCTTGGTTTTATGGAACGGGCAGGACCAAACTAGCCCATCTTGAGGTGAGACATGCTTTTTGAGACATTTGATACTCTAAATATAGTTCAGCTGCTGTGAAGCCTTGGGCAATTTTGCCAATGAGCTTTGAAAGAGTGGAAAGAGTGGAAAGGAACGGGCTGGACAGTACCAGAAGTAACTGAACCACACAGTGACCCAAGGAAGCTTCTAGAAGGATGTACCTCAAAAGTAAAAAATGGAATGACAGGCAAATCTCAATTTGGGGGGATACATTTCTGTCCTATCTGAAGTTTAAAATAACAAACATTCTTTTATAATCAGAAAACAATCCCTAGATTTGGCGTTGTGGGAAAAGACCCCCCGTAAATAAATAAATAAACAAATAAAGTGTTCCTGAAAAAAGGTAAAGTTTTATAAAAACATTACAAAAATGTTATTAGACTGTCCAGTTTTGTTGTGGCTTACAAAAAGCTTCCCATTCACAGCATACCAACTCCATCTGGAAGAAAGCAGGCTCTGCTCCTTCATTCATTGACATTGCTGGTGTTTAGCCTACAGACAAATGCTTTCTTTGAAGAATGGATTAAAGCTACCATAGTTACTGGAAGTAACAGAAGTTGTATGCATGTACTCTGTCACTGGGCTATTTAAAGATCATTTCCAGACTTATTTTATTACCTAAAAATCCTCTTCTTTTTTTTCAAAGCTCTGGCAGAGAATTTCTAAAAAATTCTAGATGGATTAGCAAGAAGCCAAGTGTGAAAATATAAATGAAACAAGTCTTACCTGATGTTGTACGTCAGACTCTGTTGGGCAGTTCAAAGTAATGGGGTCGCATTCTTCAGCTGGGGAGGGAAAAAGACACAGGCTTGATAAGGAACACGGTCTGCGGTGTAAGGTCTACCACGAGGACTCAGTATTATGTGCTGCTTGGACATCTGGTGAAATCAGGAAGGCCTCAGGCCTCTGCCCTCTCTGCAGCCTTGAGTAAGGCCCCTCAGCTACACCCCACTGCCTGGGAGGGCACCAGCCACCGTCCCCACTCAGCCCTGAGTACTGATTTTCAGGTCCCTGCCAGCACACAAAATTACTCAGCTGAGCCAGTCACATCCCCGCTGGGGAACCAGGGCCCTCCATCCTCTCGCCACCCTTACAACCTGTAGCCCCTGCTTGTTCATGCACTCTCGAGGGCAACCCCATGTGACCCTGCATGGCTTGCAATGTCCCCTCCCCCAGGTGAGGATAAAGGACTCATAAACTGCCGTCCATCTCGTCTGTCCAGTGTCAGGTATATATGGCCGTCCACCTAACCCCGGGGCAGGGTCCTTCCCTCACCAGCCGGGTGAATGGGAGGTGGTGTGACAACTGACATCAGGAACAGCACGGCCCAAGTACTGTGGCATCTGTCCTCTCTTCCCAGTTAAAATGTCCTCATCCTCAAGGTGAAAACCATTGTTCACAGTCTGTCCCCCAGTATGATGTGTTGTTGGGGTCTGCTGATGTTTGGCAGGCGAGCTTGGAGAATTCCAACTCGAAGCACCCTGGCTGGTCACTACTTAAGTCCCAGCTATCACAAGCTGGGCTAGAGCTCTCCGGCAGCTGTGTCCAGCCTGGTGGATACCTGGGTACAGCCGCACCAGCACCGTGATCGTACACGGCCAGTATGGGTGTGGGGATGGCGCTTTGGGAGTTTTGCAGAAAGCCATGAGATCACCATCCCAGGGTGAATGAAACATGGAGCCCTGCTTGCGGCTATTTGGACACAAATGGTGACCCTGCTGTATCCTACACTGTGGCTTCCCTTGCTGCTGGCACATGTGCTCTCCTGACCCCCAAGGACATCAGGATACATGACCATGGCAGCCCGTGGCCTAGGAACTGGGGGAAACGGGGAAGAAGCATTTGGCACGTGGCTGTTGTCCCCATGCCAAGCCCCCAGCCAGTGTGTCTGGGCTTAGCGCAGCTGTTTACAGTGTGCAGAAGGACCAATTCTGGATCGCCGGCCTGCCGGACCACACCCAACCCCTCAGCAGTGGGACCTTCCTGGAGGTGGACCCTGGCCCCAAGCAGAATGACTGACATTCCTTGGAGGAAGAGATGGCTCCCTATGAGGTGGGCCGTCAGCCTTCCCAGCCCATCCCTAGAAGTCCCCAGAAAGTCTGCACCATGAATGGCCAGAAAGTGAATGCTGGGGCTTTATGCAGGTAGAAATAAAAATATTCCAAGGGAATCTGTAGAGAAAGCATAAAAGAAATGAAGAAAAGGCAGGGCTGTAGCAAACCCATTTCAGCCCATTGCCCGCTGGGCCCGTGGGCCACCTCTGCCTGTCTGCAGTGAGGATCCTGACCCTCAGTTACAGGGGAAACCCACCCACGGTCCCCCAGCCGCATGACGAGGAGTTGGTTGGAGCCTGACGCAAGCCCGGGGTTCCAAAACCATAAGAAAGCCACCACTGCCCTGTGGCAGGCAGCTGTGGCAGACCCCAACCCCCATGGTACTGATTTGAGTCTCTGTGGAGGAGGAAGCGGAGGGTTCCCCCACCTACTTGCACCCAGAGTTTATCCAGTGATGCAAAAAGAAAAGGGGAGGGGACATGAAAGCAAGATGGAAAGAAACCTGGATACTGGGGAGGAGATAAAAGGAAGAAAAAAGAACTGAAAACAGAGGTCCGAGGTGTGACCCAATGGCAAATCCAACGTTTACTACAATAATTTACACAGGCAATAGATGAAAGAGGGCTGGGTGGGTGGCTCTATTGGTTGAGCATCCAACTCTTGATTTCAGCTCAGGTCATGATCTCGGGGTGGTGAGATCGAGCCCCACATTAGGCTCCGCACCAAGCTTGGGGTCTGCTGGAGATTCTCTCTCCCTCTGCCCACCACCCCCCGCCACTGCAGGTGTGCACGTAGGTTCTGAATTAGCTTTAATACCTGCCGAAATATCTGAATTGGCCAACCCTCATGGACTTTATCAGCACCAGGGCTCAAATTACAGTTACACCTGGAGATGCCACTAAATGTCACCACGGTGTACCCCCCATCATGGTAGGAGAGCTCCTGAAGGTAAAACAGAGGACAGGCATGCCATACCCTGACCATGAGGACTACCATGTGGCCTCAATTTCCCAGGGTCACAGCACACACTGCCTTAGAGCATCTCATGGGGGCATGGCTGCTCTGACCCCATGAATTCATATTAAATCTTCCCAGTTAGTTGACTTAACAAAATGGGACCCCATAGACTTCTCAGTTCAAATAACTACTATGGCCCAATGTAAATTAAACAGGACCTCCAGGGGTGCCTGGGTGGCTCAGTGGGTTAAAGCCTCTGCCTTTGGCTCAGGTCGTGACCCCAGGGTCCTAGGATCAAGCCCTGAATCGGGCTCTCTGCTCAGCAGGGAGCCTGCTTCCCCCCTCCCGCCTGCCTCTCTGCCTACTTGTGATCTCTGTCAAATAAATAAAATCTTAAAAAAAAAACAAAAAAAAAAAAACAGGACCTCCAAAGATCAAAACTTATTATATAAGACCTGAAGAGTGAAAGGCTGATTATCTCCTGCTTCTCATTTAATAGCTGAATGCGACCTCGTCTTAAACCTGGAGGAAAATGAATGGCACCTCAAAGTGCATTACTGCAACCTTACTGCCATGGTCCCATCCATGAAAGCCCTACACCCTATGCCCAGTGTTATTGACATTACTGACTCTATCCCATCAGTCACGAGTAAATACCTGGCTATTACAGTTTTGGCTGATATGTTCTGTCTAGTGTCTACTTGAGCAGCCTATCAGCTGCAGTGTGCCTTCTTCGTCTGCAAAGGCACCCAGTACGTGGTGACCAGGATACCCATGGCGTTCCTAACAGCTTTGTTCTAGCACACGGACTTTGCAGGCAAGATCTTATCTACACCCACCCTTCTCCAGGTTCACAGGTTCACATCCTCCTCTGAGGACATCCATGTGATGCAGTCATCCAAACCACATAAGTATTGTAAAAGAGCTCACAGAAAGGGATCAGGACATTGCCCTCCAGGGCAGTGCACCGCTTGGTTCAACCCTAACCCTAAGACTTTTCTGGTAAACTAAGGGCTGCTTCATTTCTGACAAGTCCATTAAAGAGTTATGGGGCCTCTGAGTACTGCACATTAATACAAGTCCAACATCTTTTAGTTCTTTTGGAATTCTGGAAACAACCCATTCCCCATTTGCACACTTCACTTACTCCTACTCCCATTGCCAAGGTTACTTGCAAATGGGTCCACCATGAATTTGGCTCCTTCCAACAAAAGTCTACAGTGAGCATTCTCAGCAACCCCTTCACTGTCAGGGTTTCAATCTCCTTCCTCGTATTCCTCCCGAAGTCTCTGGACCACCATGATAGTCCTAAGCTTTCCATAGGCTTCTGATGCAAGAAACCACCCTCCTAGGCCCTTCTCTCTCTATACCATTAGAGCAGTGATCGCTGGCTGCAGGCTGGGCTCTTCTGGAAATAGAGGCTCTCACTGACCCTGTCCCTGTGAGGCTCCAGGCACTGCTGCCCATTCTGCCTTGGGTCATGGAAGCAACACCCTACAAGCTTGACATGGCTTCTGTGGCATTGCTGCTTAGTGGAGTCAGACTTGGACCCTCGGGCATATTCCACTTATGGGAGGGGGAGTCCCTCACTCTCCTCAGTCTCTTGCCGGATGCCATGGTGCTGGAAGAGGTCACTCTCCCCAGATGTTTGGGTTACCTGGGGGGCCCCCTTCAGACCAACTGAGCGAATAGCTGTGGGAGACTGTAGACACTACAGATGAGATGGCCACCACCAGACATGATGGAGCTCATGGAGACCTGTGCTTTTCAGCCCTTTCAGGATGTCCCTGATAACAGACAGGATTCTAGAGTCAGCACAGTTGGCCAGACTTCAGGCTGTCATCTCAGTGCTACATGCCTGGCCAACAAATGGTCCCATCAGTATTATCATTATCATTATTATTATTACTACTACTGCTACTACTACTACTATTAATATTATTATTTACAAACTCTTGAACTGTTGCCGAAGACTTGTCCACTCTGAAGTAAAGAACCCTGGGAATCTCTTGCCTCACAGATGAACAGAATATAAATCAAGGTAGCAAAGGTCTCTACCTCTAGTAAGACCACAAATATAAAGCCTTTCTAGAACACTCTCTATCCCCTTGCAGTTCCAGACCAGGGGATAGAGAGTCCCTACTGGATAGGGACCAAGACATTCATTTCACTTCTCAGAATGCACAATGCCTGGCTCTAAAAGGAGCCATTGGATGGAACTTCCATTTACTCTGTAGGCAACAGGCTACCTCAAAAGGTATAATGGGCCCCTCACAGAATTCCTGTTTTAGTTACAAAGTGCAAACAGAGCCTTTGCCTGGGGTCACTATTGCCATAAGCATTGGTTGTCTGAATTCACGCCCTTGGGGGCCAGGCACTCACTCCCCCAGTGCCACACCACATGGCCCATTCTCTCCTGGCCAAGTGATTGTTTTGCTATTTAGAGAGGCCCTCCTCTACCCTGTAAGTCTCAATCATCACTAAGATAAAAATTGATGTCAAGGCACCATGGAGTCAACTGGGGTAAAAGATCTAAGATTAAGACTCAATATTCTGTGCTGACTTCATATCTGGTAAATCAGGAGGACTTGGAACGGCCAAGGTACAAGCTCTCGGTGCTCTGCTCCATGGATATGGCCCCCTAGCTAAACACAAGCCACTGTCCCCACTCAGCCCTGAGTACTGAGTTTCAGGTCCCTGCTGGCGCACAGAATTACTCAGATGAGCCAGTCACATCCTCCCTGGGGAACCAGGGCCCTCTGTCCTCTTGCCAC